ATTTAACCCTTTAATGCAGAGTCTGTCATATATGAAACGCTTTTTAGCCCTTTCAAGGCAGAGGAAAAAGGTTCTCAATATGCTGTTGAACGTGCTTTTTCTCATGTTGACGTAGATATTAATCGTAGAAAATTTTTCCATAGTAAAATAATAATAAAGAAAAAAAAAAAATAATAATATAAAATAAAAAAATAAAAATATTAAAATTAAAAATAAATTAAAAATAAAAATAAATAAAAAGTACGTTGAAAACATATTGAGAACCATTTTGCCTCTGCCTTGAAAGGGTTAAAAAGCGTTTCATATATAACAGACTCTGCATTAAAGGGTTAAATGCTACACTTTCGTAAAGATATCGACCAGTATAACCATTTTTGTTATATAAATTTTTTTTTGTGAAAGCTGATAGTTTACGAGTTATTAGAGTTTAAAGGTAGCTTTTCTTTTTCCAATCTGGCCACTCGGGTACAGCATCCAATGTCCCAAGAATCGAGTCTTAAGATAAAATATAGAGAAATCTTACAAAAACAGTGCTAATGGTGTATTAAATATAGTGTTTTCTAGTGGAATGGGAGCCAAAGTCCAAAATTAAAAAAGTGACATTTTGAACGGTATTTTGAGGGTTAAGTTATTGTTGTTGTAACTCCTCTATAGTTTTCCTATATTATATGATCATTTATCTTCACGATAAAAAAAAATTTCATTCCATTATCTCTTTTCTAAGCGAAGATCTACGATTTTGAAAAAAACTCGTGTTTTGCCTATAGTGCGACGCCTCTAGCCATTGTGTATCACAACTTTAAGTTATCGATGCAAATTTTTTTTAGCCTGGGGTCGCCAACATGCCTTCATACCCCGCGCCGTGCCCCGGCATCCAATTACGTAACAGCCGATTTACCAAAAGAATGTGCAAAAAGGGGGAAATTTTGATCGGTTCCCTTCTACCATAATCCGTCGCAGAAATCTGGGTATTATTTGTGTTTTTTGTTGTAATCGATGTATTTCCAGGTAAGCTGAAAGTTGTGGATACCTAAAGTATCTCATGCATTTCTATTTAGAAGTTACCTGAAAATATTCATTGGCTTCTTTGTTTTCTGTGAGAAATGCTTGAGCGAGAGGTTCTGTTTCACAGTATTTAACATGCTTGTCGAAATCCCTTTCAAGTCTTAGAAACGTTTTAGCTATCATGTTGGGTTGCTCCGAGTAATATTTAAGTCCTTCTATTAATACTCTGAAAGCAGTTGATGTTATTTACTATGCTTCTTTGTTTAACATTTTCTTACAAGTTGTGAAATTCGGCAATTTGTTGAAAATTTGTGAAGATAATGTCTTTACTGTCTCGAACAATGCGCGGGGCTGCAGATTTGTCGGTAGGTTTGATGTAACGGTCAACTATGTTTTGTAAATCTCTGCCAAATTCTTCCTCTGTCTCAATGAGTTCTCTTACGGTTGCTCTGAAAAGATTTAATTGCGGTAGAGCATTAGTAGTATCATATTTAAATACATGCATATTCAACAACTATTGATAAAATATAATACAGAGATAATAAACTATACTTCAGAAGACTATACTGGACTTTTAAAGCGTCATAAACATGCACCACAAATAGAAATAAATTTAGAAGACGTGACTATGCAAGAACGCCACTCCCATTTCAAGGCTATATTTGGGTAGATGAATTCGTATTTTGCCAAATTCTGGGATGCTAAAATTCTGAAAGTTATATTTTCCATCATCATTGGTAAAATATATGTATGTAAGCGAGTATAAAGCTTTTAACTTGGACGAATAACAAATAAGACAAATATAATCTACACTAATTATATAAAGAGAAGTCCCTTTTTTGTAACAGGTAATCTCGCGAACGGCTGGTCCGATTTTCATGAAATTTTGTATATAAATAGCTTTCGGTAACCACCATGTTTTAGGCTAAAAAAATTTACTTTTGTCGGGTAGGTGGACCAGGGACCGGTCTATTCGAAAAAAAATCTAATTATGGTCCGATTTGCTTAAAATTTGGTACGTAAGTAGCTTTTTAGCATATATTAGCATATATGATCCATTTTTTCCGAGAAGTGGACCAGGGACCGATCTATTCGCAAAAATCGTATTTACGGTCCGATTTGCTTAAAATTGGGTACGTAGGTAGCTTTTTACCATATATTAGCATATATGATAAATTTTTTCTGAGAATTGGACCAGGGACCGATCTATTCGAAAAAATTATATTATGGTCCGATCTGCTTAAAATTTGGTACGTAAGTAGCATGTATTAGCATATAGATCAATTTTTTCCGAGAAGTGGACCAGGGACCGATCTATTCGAAAAAATCTTATTTACTGTCCGATTTGCTTAAAATTCGGTACGTAGGTAGCTTTTTGCCTGGATAAGCTTATAGATTCCTGTTTTCCAATTTTCATGCAATTTAAGCAGACCCGGCGAACTTCGTCCCGCCCAAAATTTTTATATATTTTATTAAAACTTTTTGGTCCAAGATTTTCACCGACAATTCACGTTTACAATTTTCATAGGCACATTCGTCTGCTAAGATTAAGGTTTGGTGGTCATTTGCCGCTTTAAATAACCTAAGGAAAGTGTTATNTGGTTCTATAGTATAGTTGGTGGCTGTTTCAAAATGGGTGCGAATCATTGTTCTACAG